CAGACCACTTTCGGCAAAATTTCAGGTTCATACTGTGCTGCATGCCAAATAACGAAGACAAATGCTTCTGCAAAACGAGCATGCTGCGAAAGAGAGAGAGAGAGAGAGAGAGAGAGAGAAGAGAGAGAGACAGAGACGCAATGGAAAAGTTACTTACCGGACCTGAATGGGAGCCAGAGCAGCCGTCACCCTAAGATGGAGAGAGGGGGAGAAGAAGAATGATTGCTTGTGGTTGAGGAATAGAATCAGTGAGCACTGAAGAATGTATATCAGCTAGGTGGTGGCTTGATCCATAGCCAGCATCATATTAGGGCCATCAAAGGATGTATGTACAAGTGTATATGATTGTTCAGTGCTAGGCATGTCTGGGCACATGTGATGACATCACACATTCCACTGATATAGTCTACATCTATATGTCCTGTCTTTCACACTCACCCGGTCGCCTTTTTCCCCTTTCAACCCAGAAACCCCACCAAGGTTGACTACCTGCAACACACACACGCATAGTTACACACTCTGCAGTGTTATATTATTGACATGTTCTAATGGAAAGACGTGAAAGTAAAGATCAGTGGACCCTTACATTTTCTTCCCTATTCAGGAGTAAACAACCTGCACACACAAGACAGACGGAGAGAGAGAGAGAGAGCAGAATTATCACACTGTTTTCACTGAAGAACTAGTGTGTCTGAGTAAAAGGAAGCTTGTGAAGGGAGGACATGGGTTGTAGTTTCTGTGGTCACCAGGTGGTGGCACTGTTACACAAAACTAAACCGTGGGCTGAACCCCTGTGCTGCTACACACACACACACACACACACACACATTCAGACATACACGTGCATATACACACTCACACGTCTCCCATGGGAGACGGAGATCAATAGAAATGTCTGATTCCCACAGCACAGGAGTGAGCAGACCAGCTGCTCCTCACAGGAGGGAGGGCACACACACAGACGCACACACATACCAAATAAGGTTAACCATTATAAATAACTGAAGCATTTTTAGCAGAAGCGAGTAATTAAAGCAGAATCCCTCACCCTGTGTTTTTGGGAATCACACCGGGAAGTTTACATAAATTGAAGCTGTGACTATGAGCTTGCTGAGACGACGAAAGGGATCTAGTAACAGCACAGAAACAATGTGTAATTCTCCCTCCCTCTCCCCCCAGCCCCTCCCGTCTTACAAGACTACAAATCTATCAATGGCTGGCAAGACCAGCTATAATGGCGAGTCACTCTTTCCGAGCTCCTGTCTGACCGTGGGCTTAGTCAAGTCCTCATATAGTTCCACTTAAAACCTCAGTGACTTTTGTGGTTAATTCTCTACATTGAACTTTAAAATGGAAAAGTCAGATGACTGTAAAAGGAAAGCACACTGTCTCCGACTGTGTATAAGAAAATAGCACTGAAATATCCTTGTAATTGAGCCCACTTTGCTGTCTTTATTACTCTTAATTAGTTAAGATTAATTAACTGAGAGCTGGATCGAGAATCTCTAAACATCCAAACACATTATGATCACTGTATAGCACACTGTTATCTCCATAGATGCTGTTTTTGTTATTATTTATACTGTATGAGATGCAGTGGTGATGAATGTCCAAACTGTCTCTCTCTTCTTCCTCTCTCACTCCCACGTTCGTCCTCCTTGTCATCTCTTTTCACTCAGCCTTCTCTGTGCTGGACCATTGGCCGTCCCTGGATCTCTCTCACTCTCCCCTGGCTGTCAGTGCCTCATTCCAGATGTTTTGGATCTGGATTTTCATCTTCCAGGACATTCAACCTCTCCTCTTATCTTACTCTCTCTGCTCTCTCCTCTCTCTTTACCTCTTGAGTGATTGTGTACTCTGTCATCTTTGGAGGTCTCCCCGATGCAGAGGAGGTTGTGTGCCTCTGGTCCTATCTGTTTGGTGGCACCTAGAAGTTGCTTGATGCCAGATCCATATTCCCTCCTCTATTGCTCTTTCTGAGGTTTCTTCCATTTTTTTGCCCAAGAACAGAGGGTGTTGTATGCTATACAGATTGTAAAGCCCCTTGAAAATAAAATAAGTACCCTATTGTGCATTGCTACCTTATAGCAATAAGTTCAGTTTTTAAATAAGTTGGATCACTTTATGTAATTAAATCTATTACATAGGCTCCACAAAGGTTGAACCAAGGTTCATTCTAAGGTTTTATCAATTTGATACATACCATTTGGTGTTAGCATTAGTAGTAGTTTAATATTACAACCTTAAAAATCTGATACTAAGAATGTGTTGACGACAATTTGCCTAAAACACATCCGGCAGAGACAGCCCGCATTGAAAATCGTGTTTAAGCTCACCTGACAAATTTACCACCAATATTCACTCTCCATTTAGCTTTGTTTTGGTCAAATTTTGGCAGTATCCTAGTTAGTAGGCTCATATAAAAGTATTTAACATCCAATTAAATTGGCTCACTTTTTGACATCGAACATCCCAATACACTGGCACTCATTCTACATTATGTATGCCAACACCTATGCTCATTTATTAGCTTAAACATCTCAAAAGACAGGCTGAATTTTTGGCACCAACATCCTGTTAGTGAGCCTTGTTCTTTGGTATTAAACATCCCAATGGGGATGTTTTTTTGGCATTGTCTCTCTTGCTGCCAGTTAATTGACAGAGCAAGGGCAAGACCCAGTGCACAGTAATGAAAATCTAATATCAGTATAAACACCCTACATTCAAAATATATAGCATCAATTGTATTTGGGGTTTATGTTTAAGTACCACTTTCCCACATGCATGATACCTTATTCTAACGCATGATCTAATGGCATAGAAAAGAAGTAGATGCTGGGATTTTAGTTCAGGAATACCCCTTTGTGTTAATTTATTCCTGCTGATTGGTGGGGCTCAACCTTATATAACTAAGAAACCACAGATGTAGTTGGAACAAGCTCTAGAAGAACAGCTTTAGCAGCATGACACTGGAATGAAAATTGGTGTCTGATGGAGCTTTAGGATTGTGCAGCAGAAGCCAAATCTATCCCTTATTCATACCATTTGTTATCATAATCACATTAATGCATAGTCCTGCTTGGCATATTTGTCGGTATTTGTGTTGTAGTGCATAATATCAGGTAGTATTATCAATTGATTCTTATGGGTACTGTAATATGCCTATTTTTACCTTGTCGCCTGTGTAATTTGACCAAATTAAGTTCGCATAACATAAGAAAAGTCACTTTTGTTTCTTTGCAACTGTGTGCTCCCAGTGGCAGGGCAAGCTGTGTGCTCCAACCCAGGTAATAACCTACATTGAGGAAGTCAGGGGAGGCGACCAGCTGCATTAGTAAGCACACACAGGAGCAACATAATGAAGCGTCTGGAGTTCTGTATTCTATTTGTGAACAGAACATGCCTATTGTAGGTGAATGACAAAATTAATAGGCAGCAGCAACTCCCGACTGAGGCTCAGCGCATAATGAGGTGTAAATCAGTCCTCGGTCAGTCAGCAAGCCGAAGGGAGGGAGGGAGGAAGGAGGAAATAGAGAAAGACCTCATGCACAACACACATACACGCATATGGCCTGCATATTGTGCTCCTATTTGAATTTCAGCAGCACATACATGTTGGAAACCTCTTTATCAATTGATATGCTTGCTAATCCTGGACTGTATTTCCTGATGTACTGGGTTAAAGGAAGGGTACACATTGGTCCATCCACACTGGGAAGAGTCTGCAATTTACCTAACCTGCTGCACATCTTTGGACTGTGGGAGCTCGACGCTTGCTTTGAGGTGACCATTTTGGTCTGAGCCACTGTGGCGTACCACAGGTCTCATTAGAAATGTAATACTGTACTGTACTGTGTGTGTGTGTGTGTGTGTGTGTGTGTCAAAATTGTGAGGCTTACTTTCTCTGCCATATCCTTGGATGCAAAAATGTCCTGTTGGTAGAAAGAAAGGCAGAAAGAGAAGAAAAGAAGAAAAAAGAAAGAGAATGTCAGGTATTTTTTTCTTTCACATCATATCTGAACAAGACCTCAATATTACCACCATATTTGGCTTCACATTGGTCCAAATTGATTTCTAATATATTATTATTCTAATATTCAACTGTTGAATCCATCAGCTTTAAAGGCCATTCACTCCATTGTGGCAGCACTGCAACTTACTTCGTGTTGTAGCCCTACCGCTTTCTTAAACCTTTGAACATATATTTACATTACCAGTCACTGGAAGCTCTGTTGTTCATAGTAAATTAATCTCTTAAAGTTGTTCCCAGGAATAGCAGCAATTGCATTTGACAGTCTCTATAATGTCAACATCATATGACATCTTTGTCATAAGCAAGCTGTTGTTTTCCTGTTGCATGTGCAGTGCATCCATTTAAACCTTGTTGCCATTACAATTCATTGCATCAGATACACAACAAAGAAAAGAGACATAAGGGCCATCTTGGTTTCACATACGGGTCATTAACAGCCATTCTTTATTCTGGGTGGAAAAAAAGAGATAAAAGAGGATGAGGAGAGAGAGAGAGAAAGAAAAGTACTTTACCTCTAGAGCCCAGAGGCAAATGAAGAGATGGACCCTGCTGTGCACAGAGTTACAAATCAGGCAAGAAAGTCAACAACAAGAAACATGGAGAACAGACTGGAAAACTGAATGGAAACAATTTATTCAAGGTGGCAAGGAGAAAAATAAGGAAGAGTTTCAGCAGAGGAAGGGAGAAGACATTTTACAGCTGGTTTTAGACTGCAACATAAAAAAGGTAAAAAAAAAAAAACACTGAGACACAAAAAACCCTTTGGGTATTCTGAGAACTAGATGACCTTTCAGTTGGGAGCTGGGTTGAAAGCAAGAAAAACTAAGTTTACAGTGTTGGAAAATACAGAACAGTGTGGGTGAGATTTGTCATACCTCAGGAAGGCAGGTACTGCTGTGACCCACACGCAGGCATTAGCAATGGTACACATACCTCTGTATCAAACCTGATTTGACTAATAGTGGGAAAGACACATTGTTTCACATCACCAGAAGATGCAGTTTGTTACTGTTTGTCAGATAAGTAAGTAAATCCCGAATCTTCAGGGACCAGCTTGAGGCATCAGTCCTTACAAGCTAATTGTGTACTGCCAAACCTTGTTCAAACAGAACTAAATTTTAAATTCTAGTGGAAATCCCAAAGACGCCAAATAGGCTGAATTTTGGGGACATGTGTAAAAAACAATGAACTAGGTATCTAGGATATTTAATATTGATGGAATGTTGCACACATCAAAAATATATCTTGGGTTGAATATTTTGCTTAGTGTAAGCATTATTTAACTGTGATTTTATGGCACCCACAGGCATAACCCCCTGTTAAACCACACCCTGTCATTACACTTTGATTTTTGGACAGATTAAACAACACAAAATTAAGGAAGCTTTAGAGCTGCTGGTAGGCGGATTTTGGTAACTTTGGAGAAAGACAGGCTAGATGTTTCCCTCTGTTCCCAGTCTTTGTGTTCAGCTAAGCTTAATGAATGCTGGTGGTAGCCTCCTATTTACCGTTCAGACACAAGAGTGGTATCAATCTTATGTAATTCTTGGCAAGAAGGCAAATATGTATCTGTCCTGAAATATGAAACTATTGCTTTCAAGGATTTTGCATTGCCCCCCTATAAAATTGTCAGATTTACAATGGACATAAAACTAGAATTACCAACTCGCAGCGGTATGTCTTTGCCAACCAGTCAAGTAGCAGTTTACATTCATGTCTGTCTAGACTCATAGAATATATGCAGTGAAACATTTCTTGCACTGAAGGAATAGAATAAAATGGCTAAATGTAAGTTGTCACTATATTGATAATACATATGTATGATTCCAGTGAATATACATTACACATGTACTTGATTACTATGTAAGGACGAATTCTTACAAAGTATAGCTATACAAAATGTAGTCCTTTTGTTTTCTCCTGGAATTTTTAGATGCAACAGATCTCTATGACCTGTAGGTTAAAGTGACTCACTGACAGGATCGCAATTAGCTAGACACACTCCAATATGTTGTTTGAAGTCAAATGATTGAGATTGAGGCACAAAGTGAAGAATCGATAAGGCGGAAAAATGTATGTATTACTCATTGTATCATCTCAGTCAACGTGTGTGAAATCTGAAATTAATTCCTAAATTATAGCGAAAAAATCCGATCTGGAAGTCACAATGACCTTTAACCTTTGAGTCAAAAGTGACACCAATTTAGTGTCCAACCAACTGTGAAATATGGTCACAATCTCCTCTTCTGTTCCTAACATACGGTGTTGAATAAGGGCCAAATAGTGTTTTTCCAAGACATTATGATGTTGACCTTTGACCTTTTGGGTAAAAAATGTAACCATTTCAAATTCATAAATACTGCATAAATATATGAGTTATGACCAAAAACATGTATGTTGAGGTCATTTTGAGATCACAGTGACCTTTGACATTTGAGTCAAAAGTGTCACCAATTAATTGTCCAACCAGTTGTAATACATATTCATCAATTCTTGAGTTATGGCCAAAAACATGTCACAGTGACCTTGACACTTGACCTCAGTCCAGCAAAATCTAATCAGTTCATCCCTGTGTAAAATCTGAGGAAATGAGAAGGTGATGGACAAACTGGAAACATGATGACTCCAGCCACGGCTATCGTCAGCGCAAAGCCATAAAAAAGGACCAATATGATCAGTGTGATGCAGCAGAAGCAGAGTATATCTTTTTTACCCTCCCATGCATTCTTGGCTCTTGTCAAAACGTGCCTACATTAGCAACAATGCAACTCAACCATTGACTGTTCAGTTGGAGATTTAGGTGTGTTATGCAAGTAGCAGCTAATGTAGCCTTAGGCAGAGATGAGGAGCCGGCAACAGAGGTCAAAACAGGGTTATGGGTTATGGAACATACATCTACAGAAATTTCACCAATAGCTGAACCCCAGTTTACCCTGTGCTCACTTCATAGCGATAAGGTACTGTATTCTTCCCAAATACAGAACACATGACATTCCACATATGCTGAGCTTAATGCACTGTAACTCAGTGAGGCTTACTTTAATGGAAGCAGTGCTATGGCTCGGTAACATCTGGCTTGCACACTGGAATCTTGGATTGTTTTATTCGTTTACTGTTTACAAAGCTAACATACAGCTAAAAATAGAAAGTGAGTCTGGGCATGTATGCGCATGTGTGTGTACGTGGCTGTGAAACAGAGCAAAAGAGAAAGAAGACAATGTAAAAAATGGGAAATGAGTAGGGATGTAATGATGTATCGCTAGAAAGTTAAATCGCGATAGAAATATGTAAAGATTGGTGAGATGAAAAATAAATCATGATACTTTTTTTAAACAGCAGAGGGCACTATCTACTTTTAACTTTGCTTCGTTCTACGTCCTATGTCACTCGTGTCCGTAGCTGTATCAATGCCCCAAAACATCAGTTCCACTTTTATAATGAAAAGGAAATATGCATTGTTTTGTTTAGTTTAGTCTATACCTCAATAATAAAAACGGATTCAAAATATATTTTGTAGATTTCTGTCTAAGAAATGAAGGAATCTTTTTTAGTCACAATGTGCATTCAATCTTTTTTTTTCCTCTCATTTGTGAGAAAATCATATCACAAATCCAGTATCATGAATTGTATTGAATCGTGACTTGAGTGCATTGTTACATCCCTAGAAATGAGGACAGACGTGTCTGGGCTGCATTCATGGTAGTTACGCATCTGCAAGGAGGAAGATGGCAGTAACATTACTATTGTACTATGAAATCATAATCCACGTATTAACACTCAGTCTGCAGCAATTGATAGCAGAGAAGAAAGAGAGAAAGGATGACAGGTGAGAGAAAGAGAGAAACACAGAACGACATGGCATGCCTGAGTTATTGTAACTGTGTCTGGCTGAAGCCATCTGCGGGATTGATTACGGTGTCCTGAAGTCTGCCAGAGCTCTAAGTTAACACCAGCACTCCACAAGACAAACACCAGGCCCTAATGAATAGATAATTGGATATAGATCCCATTAATATGAATGATGGCACAAGCGGGTGTGGAAACAAAACTAAATTGCCTTTACATTATACTGGACAAACTTCAGGTATCAGGCAGCACTGAAGCAACCATAAAAAACACCAAGAAAATTTGCGGGAAAACTGCTCCCATGTGTTGTATAAGGCTCTATTTGTCATGCATCCAACACTGTCCCCGGACAGTTTGAACGATTGCTACCAGCAGACTTAACTGAACTGAAGTCTTATAAAACTCAGACTGCAGCAGAGTTGAAAACGTGTTTTCCACAGAGTTTCAAAGGAAAACAACTGCGTCATTTGGTAGTAACTCCCACAGGCCGATGTTTGCTTGCCAGCAGGAGCATCTAAGACAGCTCAAACTGTCTCAAAAGGCCGAGTGCTTATCTGTGTCTGTGTCTGATGGGAACCATGTGTTGTGATAATTCATGATGGAGGTGACAGTGTTTGTGAAAGATTATATAACATTTTCCCTCAATTTGTTACTGGACTTAAGTGCTTGTCACTGATTTTAAAATAATAATAAGGATGAGGATTTTCAGTGTATGGTTTAGTGTATGTGTGTGATCAGGTTTCGCATTTCTTTGAATGCTGAATCTTTCTTTGTGTACATTTATGCTTTGATGAGCGCAGGATTTGATTTACCTGATTAAAGGTGTTTTCCAATAGGTCATTCTCAGCAGCACGGCGGCTCTTGGGAGCATCTGGTGGGCACTGCAAACATACAATGAACGCATTATTTGAGACAAGGTTAAAGAACACTGGTGATTTCCAACCTGAATCCAATAATTCTACTCCGTGCGAGATGTTAAAATCAGACATAACATTTTTTATAGACATAGAACTCGTCATCTGGCAAATGGCAGAGATCCGACCTGAAGTACACAAGTGAAATATTAACTGATTTAGTGTTTCACAGTATATTGGCCAGGTTTTGTAATATTGCAAGACACATTTGTTTTGTCTCTCCTTGTGGAATGGAAAAAAGATCAAATCATGACTGTATCTAGAGTCTACAGCAATGCTAGTGGCTCTCTGAGGCTGCTAAATGGTAACATCAATGCTAGCATGCAGATGTTAAACAGGTATTAAATGTTTAACAGTGTTTATGTTTGCCATGTTTGCTATCTTAGTTAAGCATGCTTACATTTTCTAATTAGCATTAAATATAAAGTACAGCAGGGGCTGATGGAACCAAAGTGGTGGATCAACAGACCATGCCGCTAACGTAGCTAAAACTGGTATTCATTCAAAACTGGGTTAATATGTTATTTTAATTAGTATTCATGTAAAATGCATGATGACATTTACTGACAACTATCAGTTTATCGCGTTCCTTTATGTTTCAAGATGGTACAGCCTTCATAAGCATGCAGGTGAGTGTCTGAATATGAGTGCACATGCTCCTCCACTTCTTATTTCAAATTCAAACTCAGCTTGGAGGAAGCCCTGCAGCACACATGCCTTGAGCAAAGGAGAAGAGGATTCCTTCTTCAAACCTTCTCATCAATTTTACAGCATTCAGTCCTTCTTCTCAACAGGTCTTTGCAGTTACAAACGTCTGAGGGATTTTCTCAGCCTATTTGTATGCCGTTCATAAACTAATTTGGTAATGAAAAAGACACATATGCATGCACACACAGACACGTTAGCACAGACACCCTGGAGAATTCTGACAAAAAGTTGGCTGGGCACAAAAATACCTTCAGCTTAAAAATAAATCCCAAGAACTGAATGTGTGCAATTCTTCCCGTAACTGAACAATAACTCTGTCTAACAGAAACATACTGTTGTAGGTCCAATGAATCTGTTTTCTATTTTGATCAGGCTTGTGAAACCTGCACACAATAACTGCACACAAATACAGATCAAGAGAAGAGGTAGATAGGCAAGAGAAAGAAAAAGAAAAAAAAGATAGTGTAGAAAATTGTATTTCTGAAGAGAGAAGTGATACTTTCAATTAGGCGTTTAGTCACACTCTAGGAGTACAAACAATAGTAGCAAACTGCAGTTGTGATATAACTGTACACAATGGAATTATCCTAAGCCCTAGTCAATTTGTAGGCTATACATAATACCCTATGTTAAACAAAGAGTCGGAAGAATATTGTGTTAACTAACATACTAAGACAGGCATTTTCATATTTGTGGAAGCCTAAGTCAGGTAATTGACAGCTCTTCCTGCATATTAACATCCAAGCTGGGCAGATCCGTTTTTTTTCTTGTTTCTGAGCTCCTACAATAAGCTTGAAGAAAAAAATCTAGCATTACGCATCATGAAGACAAAGTGTTGCTGATTAACAAGAATCAGCCTCCAGAGCAAAGGCAGAGACTGTTTAGGGTGTTTAATTCTGATAATGTCAGCTTTTCTTGCAGCTGTTGGAAGTAACCTTCCAGCAAATAACTGCAACTTTTACTGTCAAGCAGCTGCAACACGTGTTGAGTTATAATGAGGTTAAATTAGATTAGGTTTAACTGAGGTAAGATTACTTCAAACAAGCCAGCATTATGCCAGCCTTTTCCTGGGGTGATATTGCTCATTCATACCCCACTTTTGACCCATATGGAGACTTAGATGGAGTTAGAGTTAGTTGGGATTAGACTAATGAGGTGGCAAGGGTTATAATTGGTACCATTTGATATACTCTGGCAGGTCTGACAGGAAGTCAGGCACAGAAAGGGCACAGAGAATCTGGTCAATTGGTCAAACTGGTCAAAGAAAATGCCCTGTGTAGACTCCAGATTGAATTTCATACTACATCAAAAAAGTGTAAAATAACAACAATGAGCACAATTAAAAGAGATAAACCATTTAACTACTGTATGTAGCCTACGTACCCCTGGCAGAACCACTAATATCAAAAAGGTAAACTCCTTTACGTTTCAGGTTTACGGTTATGTTATGTGTCCTTATTTTTGCATTATATAGGTTGAAGCTGGATTGAATTCAGTGTAGAGCAGTTGTAAATAGTCTGCGCTCCACACAAATTCATTGTAATTGTTAATCATTGTTGCAGTCTCACCCGTGCCCCAGGTATCTCGCAGCAGGCCTCCTGAATGGCGAGGGAGGGGTCACAGTACAGCATCACCTGCTGAATGTCCATCTAAGAAAGGGAGGAAGAGAAGGGAAAGACACTGTGATGTATTAAAATGCAGGTCTCCATATGTCCTCTGGGTTGTTTGTTTAATAATGTAAATAAAGTTTAATTAAAGCAGTAAACAAGGTTGAAAGGCAATTAATTTCTAATTTATATAGCGTATTAGGGAAGCAAACGTCAGGAGGTTTACATGCGTGTGTACGTGCATGTATGAACACTTCCTCCCTGCACCAACAAAAGACCCTGACTGCTTTCTAACTAGGCCAGTTAATTGATCGTCAAACTAAGTGCCTGGATTACTGAATCTATTCAGTGTTGATAGTCCCGGTTTACTACAGGCCCATTCTCCCAGATAGCACCTCATGGTCATAGCTTATGGTCTAAAATGAACATTCATAGACACACACAGATACAAATACACACGTGTAGGCATGGACAGAATTAAGGATTTCAGTACAAAGGCTTTTATAATAGGCTTATCTACTAAAAACACTTCACTCTGTCCTTCCAACTGGAAGGGTAAAGAAGAAGAAAGTTACAGTTACTCATACAGAGAGAGACTGAAGGTCACCATTTTCAGATAATAAGTTTAGATTACATTTACATTGCAAAGCTTAACCCTGATCAAAGGTTCTCCAGCAGCCATAATAGGGCAGTCCAAGAGCTGAATCAAAAGCTCACACAAATTCTCCACCCATTTCAGTGTTTTCTTTCCCACTTCTGCATAGATGAATACCTGCACAGGCCCGGCATCTGAAGCCCGAATGGCCAGCAGAGTGTGTCCGTCAGTGGGCATAACTCCACGGGGCTCCAGGGGTTTAGTTTCAATGGAGCTGCAGTCCACGTGGAGGGAGGCGGCTTCTTGTTGCACGCTGAGGGCCACCTTGTGCCAGCGCAAGTCCATCAGAGCCTCCACCCCCTCACCGGTGAAGACGCAGCTCACCGGGTCAGCTGCAGGGTCCACCCCACTGGCACGCAGGGACAGGGTGCCATCGGGGCCGCTGAAGTCTACAGAGAGCTGGGTTTTTGTGCGGGGGTTGTGAGAGTTAGAGGACAGAGGGGAGCGGAGGGTAGGGTAGGAGAAAAGTGATATATGAATATGCACAAGTGCTAATTAAACACCAAACAATGTGTTCAACATGCCAATGCATGAGAAAAATGTAGTTGTCTGACTGGCAACAAAGAGTAATATGTACGCGCTGCTACCACCTAACAAAGCTGTAGAACACAGTAGCAGAGATGAGGTAAAGGAGAAGATATATTAATTACACACGCAAGCAGTACAGCCAATCAATCACTCCTAATGAGGCAACTTGGCCTCCATCCATCATACACATTGAGTATTTAAATCTGGCCTCAGTCTCTTAGTGATTATGGGGACTCCAGCGCTTCATCATGGAATACACATGAATAACAATGAAGGTGAATGAAAGAGGAGAGTGGAAGATGATCGAGGGAAGAGCAACTAAGAGACGGGGAGCGACAGAGAGAGAGAGAGAGAGAGAGAGAGAGGGAGGTGGGGGGGAGATCGGATGAAGAATAAGAGAGGACAAAAGACGTGTGGAATGAAAGCGGGAGAGAGAGAATTGAAAAGGTGTCACAGGAGAAAATAAATCGAAGGGGAAAGTGGATGACTATGCAAAAGAGAGATGAGAGACGGGAAGAATGAGTAGACAAAAGGCGTGATGAACAAAAGGTAAGAGACCGAGGATGAGAGAGAGAGAAAGGAAAGAAGGGAATGAGACAGGGAAGGAGCAGCGGGAATGCGTCAAGTGGGCGATGAGGAAACAGAGTGAGTGAGTGGGCACCTGTGGGTATCCCTGCTGATCAGATATCTGGAAGAGGTAGACAGTCTCTCTCAGGGCGGCCTTCTTTAACGCCAGGGTGAAGATCAGAGTGAACTCCTCAGGTAAGCCATGAGGAAACACCTGACTGGAGCACAGAAGGGTCAGGGACACGTCAAAAACAGAAAAGTTTACAGTGGAACTCAAACAACTTTACAAAAAAATGTCTTCTAGTCTCTGTGAAAACAGCTTGATATTGCCTCCTGTGACTGAGAAGTCTCAGAAAATAACCCCTGGATGATGAAATCATGGGTTCTCTTGGCTAGGGCTTTAGAGATTGCATTAAAACATCAAGCCTGTGTTGCAAACTGGTAATGCTGGATGCTATAAACGACACTGACCACCCCCTCAATCCACCCTCATATTCCTTTATTCTGGTTACCCAAAACACATTGTTGGGCATTGTATGTATAGACGCTGGGTAAGTTACTTGAAAAATATAATCAATTAGCAGCACAGCTCTATCAAAGGTGCCTTTAAAAAGCTCCAAAGCCTCCTACACACACGTCACATCTTCTGTATTTAACATGTGTGGAAATTGTGGTTTAAAAAGCAGCCAGCCTACAGTCTGGAAGTATTTACTGAGCTTAAGCAGCTAGCCTAAATAGCTCTCCCCGCTATGATGCTGCGGTGTTCACTTCACAAAGCCTCCAAATCAGGACAAAACCCAGCTGTAGGCTTACAAGCCGGATATGAAATTATAAAATAAAACTTTAGAGTTATCGGTAAGCACATTCCTTCTCTTAAGGTAGAGGCTAAACACTTTTCCACTTTTTCAGCCCCTGTGCCAAGCATACACGCCCGGGACTGACCACACAGACACAACTGATATTAACTCTCCATCAAATTCCTTACAAGGGCAGACACGACAACCCAAAGTAGCATTACTGGGATCAGTAACTGAATTTTAAATTGTAATCCTTTATAGCACTTTGTTACTAAAAAAGAAATCACAATACCTTTAAATGTTACGGCCAAACTCTACTGTAGTTGCATAGTGTGTACTGTATGTGTGTACAGGCGTAGGCAAGGGGATACATGTGGGAGCATGAATGTATCTGTGCATATATTTGAGCATCTCTATATATTCTATGCTTGTCCATGGCCGCACTATTTTTCCCTTTTTTGCTTGTCTCCCTACATTGTGTGAGTGCACCCAGCGGTACAATGCAAAGCCCTGTGTGTAACCCCCTGGCATCCATTTTCATAGCAGATACAGTCCGGCAAGCCTCATCCCTCAGTTTTGGTCAAGGGCACCTAAGCACACACACACACACAAACACACACACACACTCACACAAACATTCACAGCAAGGATGTGTGTAGATGTATTGAGAGATGAAGGGTTCACAAACAAGCCCAGTGAAATGCATGCTCACTGAGATGGTGAACACTTTGAAATATTCTCTTTTGCTCTTTTTCTTTCTCTGCATGCACACACACACACACACACACACACACACATACACACACAGAATTGTTGATGCTGGCAGCTGGTTTCCCACTCCTAGAAGTGGGGTGACAGTGATTTATGACTGAGAGAAGATCCAAGGGAAAACAGCCAACTACAGGACGTCAAAACAAAGAGAGGATGAGTAGGAGAAAAGGTGAGAAAGAGAAAAGGTTGAACCTGGAGACAGAGAGAGAGGGAGAAAGAGAGAAAGGAAGACAAAGAGAGAAAACTACAGTGAGGGACCAAGACATTCTGGGTATAACGTGAAAATGCATGAGAGTTTGATGTTAAGTATGTAGGTAGAAAATATGAAAATGGAAAAAGAGTGCGTGTGGAAGACAGAGAGAGACATAGATGTATTAGAGAAAGAAAGAGAGAAACCAATGTTGAGAACAGAGTTGTTTTGCTGTTGATTAGTGACATGAGCTGCAGGGCACAAAACCACTCACAAACTATTGACTTTTAAGTTGGAAGTACCTCACCTTGGTCGATTACATTCAGAGTCCTGGGAAAAAAACACAACGCATAAACCCCACAGACGCACACCTACATGCACACAAACATGCAATGGGGAGATAAATCACTCAGTATGGGCCAGACAGATTCAGATCTAGCCTCCCCCAACTCTGAGAGAAACTTACTTCGGCTTCTCGTTTGTTTCTTGTTTTTTTTTTTATATAAGAGGTAGAAGAAAGTCGGTGCAAGCCAGAGAGGCACAGGGGAAGAGGGGAAGAGGAAATCTAATGTTGAAAAAGCAGATCACTGGTTTAAGATGGGAATATCACCTGGAGAGGTGTATCGGCACCCTTATAACGGGTTCTAACTGTGCTAGAATCAATTGCTTTCAGTGGAGAGGGTTTCTATCCCTGAATGTATTATATACAACTGGCTGAAAGGAATGGAAGGAGACGTTAAAGAAAGGATATTTTAAGCTATAGTGGTTAAATGTTGATGCACATTGCAGATCTTCTATTTCTTTGTATTTTAAACAAGATGTACACAACTTTAGGAAGAAAATGAACTGTGCAAACAGCAGCACATACCTTGACAACTAAAATTATAATGTGGGAATTTATGCATACTGCTGATCGTGCCCCGCTATGGTTCACATTAGCATTGTCAGCACTGGTCAAAGCATTTTTGGGGCAGAGTTTGATTTACACGTCAAATACAAGGCTCATTCTAAAGCCATGCAAGTGGCTCTGTGAGGCCGTACAAAATTGAGCTTTGAGATGAATACTAATATTAGCGTGCTAATCTGCTGATGTTCGGAAAGTGTAATGTTTACCATGTTCTCCATCTTAGCATAGCATGTCAGATTTGTTATTTATTTTAAATTTATTTATTTTATTTTAAGTGCAGCTGAGGCTGATATGAGTGTCATTAGTTTTGCAATGATTTAGTTATAACCCAAATTTATTACAGTTTATCCAGAGGCGAATGTGTGTACCAAATTTCATGGAAAACCATCCAATAGTTCCAATAGACATTTCACAGTGTCAACATTACTCAAAACTAGCATTCATCCCACTTGGGCAGGTGAACAGTAAGCTGAAATATCTTTGAAAAAAGTACATCACCCTCTCCTCATTCACTCATATCCCCAATCTGCCTTCAGCATTTTGCTCTCTAAGAATAAAATCACTATTCAGCTCTTTGGCTTTTCTCTCACTCTCCTCCTACATGTTTGCACTAATGCCCTCACCTTACTACTTATTGGTTGTTTATAATTCTGTTGATCTTTTAAAAGGAATGTATTCTGAGTAGCTTTTTTAGCTAGCAATTTAAACTGTACCACTTTTGCTATGTGATAATATGAGCTAAATTTATTAAATGCATTTCAGCTCTACCAAGAATGCTTGTCATCTTGGCCTTGTGCCACAATATAACAGAATTGATTTCTGTCTCTCCTACACATCATAGCTGCATTAAAGAAACAGGCCCAAAGCAATCTAATCTTATTTTGCTGAAATTAAAATGCATGTGGCCAGCTGTGACTGGTGCCCATTTCACTGTCAGCAAACAACTGAGAGAGGCGAGAGACAAGTAGCTTCTTCTGGCTGTCACTCATCTGCGTTAGCTTGGATTAGCTGAATGGATTAGCCTCTGATACAAAGCAAAACGCTGCTTTCCAATTACTGTACACATGGCTCACACTTCAGTTAACTTCAACTGGCGATGTATTAAAACGCTGCTTGAGTGACAGGGAGCCTGTGCTGGATGGACGCCACGTATTATACAGTTTCAGAAATACTGGGACTGGAATAGATGCTGCACACACGTGTGTAAATGCTGAGCACACACACACACACTCATACTTTTACTGAGAGAAAAAGCCATCTAACAAGCCTGAGGGTTTGTTCTGATGCATTCACTTATTGCCTAGATTTAAACCTTTAACCCTCTTGTTCCCTCACCGCCATATCCCTTAATCTCCCATCTGTTCTCCGCCTCCACTCTTCTTTTCTAAATGCTGGAAATCCTTCCATACTACGCAATTTTAAGTCGGCGAAAGTGGAAAAAAATAAAAAATTAAAAGCAAATAATTAAAGAAAGGGAACATTGTGACTAACTGATGCTGCTGACAGTCCTCTTTGATTCTATCTACGTTTCGGTGAGGCAAGAAGGCAAAGGAGAAAAGGCAAATGCAAAAAAGGTAAGCTTCTCCTCTGATTCTCTTTAGTCATTTTGAGAAACATGTGGTGAAGACAGTGAATTCTATGTATAGAGAGGAGCCGAATGAAAGGCAGCCGACAGGCAAGGCTGATGTGCAAACATTGATTATTCTCTGTCTGAGTTAAAAAGAAGCCATCCAGGTAGCATTCCTTACTGATAAAACTGACAGCAAAGCTCTCGATGGCATCAACATTTCAATAAACGCTGCACCATCACAAAATCCCAAACCAGCAGCAGAGGAATAGAGAGTGGTGTTCCCGTCCTCTCTATGTATGGTTAGAGGCAAAACAAAAACATCTTGGATTTTCCTCTTATGCTCCAAAGATACTGATTTCCTGAGAAGTGACAGTTTTTTAGTCTTTCCCCTCCTTTTCATAAGGACAACTAGTCTCTGAGCCTGTGACAAACAATATATGTGACACTTTTAGAACAAAATGTCTCTACCGAAAAAAGAGTGTTTTGTAGACAGATTTATCGGGCCTTCAAGCAAGTGGAGCTCACAGTGCTGGACAGAGTGATAAAATACTCTAGGCTGACCCAATTGGCAAGTTGTGAAAAACTGCTTTATCGGTGGGTAGAAAGAAGCTCCGCCGCCTGAAAACTAGCTTTAATTCGCACAAAGTGAAAAAGAAAAACAAAAAAAAAACAAAAAGAGTGGACTGAGAAACAGCCGGCCCATAACTCTAATAAGCACTTGTCACGCAATTCCAAACACAATCTACACCCAACTACTGTGTAATAACAACATGAAAACCCAGTACAGCATAATTAAACCATGTCAAGCCGCAAAACCATGTTGTGCAAGGAAGCCGTGCTCTGTTGGATTTTATGGCTGCAGGTCTCTTCGCCCAGAAACAAGTTCAGAACAAGCTCATGCTCTCAAATGCAGCAATTAAATCCATACCCATGTAACATTTTTTACAGGCAACTACATAATGTCAACTAATAAAGGCATCACTCCTGTGATCAAGCAAATAAGCCAGGCATTCCATATGAAAACTTACAATAAGTGTATGCGGTCACAACCGGAAAACCAAAAGGCTGTTACAGTTCAGCTTTACAAGCCAGTGTCAGTAGTGAGGGAAATGAAGTGGTATTTCTGGAAATGCAATCAGAGATTGACCCATGGTGCATGGTTTGCCAAGCGTCTGTTTTTTTACACAACAGCCATTGGACAGTGCTGACATATTGAGTGAAGGTTCAGAGACTGATTAGCCGTAGGGTGTTCAGTCTCTCTGCCTTTCTCTTTGTTCAAACGTGGCATGAAAAGCGAGAGCCTGTTGACATAGGCCTACAGAAGCTGGAAATTCAGCAGAAAATAACACTTTATTTCACTTCCTGTAATACATTCCCTACCACTTAAAGCTGTACACTGTGTTTTTTGCGATATGTGTGTAGGTGCTCCAAAAAGAGCAAGTGAGGGATATGTACTGTAAACTTACTCTGTGGGGCGTAAGAGCGTAGTTTTGCCCAGGCGGAGGATGACAGGTCCTCGAGGGTTGCGGATCTTTTTGACATCTGCACTCTTGAGCAGGGAGAATCGCCTCACCAGATTAAAACCTTAAAACAAACGGCATACATCAGCACCCACATATATAAAAACCAAGAGAAAGATGTGTGTCTCTTTGCGCATTTGAGCTTGTCTTTTCACCTGTGATATTGTGCCTGGCTGTCTGAGGAAACTTCCATTCATCCACTTGTAAGGATGGGCATTGTACATCTGTGGAGAAAAATAAAAGGGGAAAAAAAGTCAAAAAAGTGTGTGCGTAAACAGCAAAAACCCTGAAACACACGGTAATCCAAGCATTCTTGAGATGTCAAGAAGAGCACATCAGTCTTTGGAGAAGTTATCCCACATGTAACCGTTCAGACTTACTGCTGGGTGAAATGGACAGCGTTTGTGCTAGAGAGAACAAGCAACTTCAAACATACATCGGCTACATTTGAAAGTATCAGAAATATTGATCTGGGAGAAAGAGAAAGGGAGTTGGTGGGGGTGAAAGAGTAAAAAAAAAAAAGAGTGTAAAACACAGAGAGCAAGATGAAATGAGGGCAAAGCTTTGCAGAGGGGAACACAGCCCAGTCTGACAGGTTGTCTAGCACCAAGCTTGTCTGTCGTGGTAGCCTCCGTTTGATGGATATGTTCTCACCCTGTCAGGGGAGGTTACAGAGAAAAGTGTTGCCTGTCAGAGCGGCCTGCCTGACTACAGGGGGGAGATGTGAGATGTGTAGAAAAACCGGGCTGGTACAGGTAGACATGAACCCTGTGAATCACTGTGATCCACAGTTAATTGATCTCTTTGGGGCCAAGGACCAAGGCCCCCAGCCAGACGTGCTACGGGGCACAGTTTTCCGAAAAGTGTTTCTTTTTTATGTCTGCAGAGAATCTGGAAGCAGGTGGTGCCCTGCGTTAACCAAAAATAAAACCTAATAATTTTCTCGGAGCTGTGTAGCTGTCAGTAATATTCTAAATCATCATGTGTGAGATGAAGGTTAGATATTTTAATTTAACCTCATTTAATGCTCCCCTTTCACACCTCATGCAGAAGCAATGTCCATGTGGACCAGATAAGAGAGATCTAGAGAGTTTGAAGCTTGTCTTTTATTTCTTTTTTTCCAAAACCAAAAGCTCAAAAGTAAAAGAGTACCGACTAAGTTAAACTGCAATGCATGTTAATCTGTTCTAACGTAAGCTGCAAGCGTTAGCACGCCTAGTTTACTAGCTAACAAAGAAGTAACCTAGCATTATTGCCCTGAGACATTTCTTTATTTAACGAGATTATCATTTGAGTTACTTAAGAAAGATCTGGAGTTGCTCCTAGTACTTAAGATGGATAAAATGCGGAGAATGATCATCCCTACAGAAATCAGGATAACAAAACTTATTTCCCTCATGTCTATGGGAGTTAAGTTAAAATTCCAGGAAGTAAGACAGTATGATTACCCAGAACTGTCTCCTTAACCAATTTAGATATATTTAGGAAATCCTAGAGCCTTCCCTTTTGATATCTGATTAAAAAAAAAAAACTTTAATGAACATCCTTTAATGAACATCGTTTTCACCTTGAGTCTCTGAGCCTCCCCTGAAACAGTTTAGAGAAAGACCAGCCTCCCACTTTGAAACCACCTTTGCTAGCACAGTAACAATGCTGCTCTTTATTTGGTTTTAGGAAGTTTTGCACTAATCTCAGCTAAACTTGCATTAGATAATAGCCTATTAGGTTTAAAATTCAGAAATGAAAGCATGATGTAACCACTGCTGCTGTATGTTGAACAAACATTTCAATTACATTTTTTAAAATTTAGAATGAAAAATGGAAAGCTTGACAGGCGTAGAAACAATAACTAAGAGGGATGGGGCTTAGCTAACGGCCAATTGTGTATGCAGGAGCAAAACTAAAGATTAGTTGCTCATTCAGATGTAGGATACGTTTGAAGGTCACTATTGATTGTTACTAGCCTGAAAAAAAAAAACCTCCGTGTTGACATGAGTGCACATGAATCACCTGCAGAGAACTAAGATAACTATTTGTGCGGCCTAGGTTTTATTGATTGATCAAGTTGGTTGTTGAGAGCAGTGCATTGACGCCTGGAAGCATGACGTCTTTGTTCAACACAATCAACTTCCCGCCTGGAAGTCACATCAAAGACAAGGAAAATATAATTACTAAAAATATAAATCCAACTGACTTTAATTAGAGCTAGAAAATTAATTTCACGGAAGCCGCTCAAGAAAGAATGAAATCACATATTAGCGCTTCATCACCTATCCTACAAGTTCAATCATTGCCAGCCCTGCAGTTCGCCTCATCTTGGTTTAAAAACACAAAGACCGTGTTCCAATCACAGCGGGGCATTTTTTCCAAGGGGCCTTGGGTGCCCCTGCAACAGTGTGTCATTCTCTTAGTTGCTATCTGGGTTTACAAATCAAGGAAAAGAACGTCAAACCGTTGGAAGCAAGAGAACTTGAAATGAAAAGTCATAAGAAATATGCATGAATTGAAAGCCGTCCTGAACAAAGTAACACTATACCAGTGAGATACGGAAATATCACACACAGCTTTTAGATCCTCATCTCTTTTAATCTTTTTCGCCTAAAACATTTTCACTCTCCTCTTCTCTCTCTCTTCTCTCTCTAACACACACCACACACCACAGATCCCCGATTACTTCGTATGTATGTAACCTGGACTGGTCAATCTGAAACCTCTATTCTACTCGCACAAAGCACACTCTCTGCAGTCGCTCACAAGACAGCCGCGCCTTTAAGACATACATATGTCACACACAGTACACCAAGAGCTCATCGTAATCTCCTGCAGGTTGTTTTTTTTAAGTCAAGGTGGGTAAGATCTACCTCGTCATGTTTACTCTTGCTTTTCTTTCTTTTTTTTTCTTGTTGTTGTTCATCCACTGCCCGCCATTTCCATCAAGTTCAGAACAGAGTCGAAGATGGAAGCTGGCCTGCAGGAGAAATCGGTGGAGCAGAGAATGAAAAGTTTAGGAACAGAAGAGAGTCGAGAATGGTGGAGAGAGGAGGAAGAACGACACTTGAGAGCAAGAGGGAAAGTGAAGAGGCAAGGTAATGGGGAGGTGAGAGAGGGTGGCTTGACGAAGCAACTTTAACCTTATACACCCAGACTAGTACTCTTGAGGCTATATTTTTCTTTTCTGATCGGTGATGTGTAAGATGCTGAGCTGCTACGACCTTGTACTCTTAAATAAAGACAAACGGATACTATTTATATTCGGTGTTGGGATAATCTGATACTGACTGTGTTGCTCTTTGGGCCATCTTCTTAGGGATGGCAGGCTGTCGCGCCGTCAAGCTCAAGCTCTACGTTAGGCATAATTGCCTCAACGCTTAATCAGTTCTGAGCGTATTTTGGCATAATCTTCAGCAACTTAGCTGCCATAGACTGAAATCCATTTAACATAACACGCTTAGCTTATGGTCACACAATATAAGAGACAAATAACTTGGAACTGAATAGCTTTTGCATGCAAGTTCAAATACAGCTGGGTGTGATGAGTAGAGCTAAGCCTTTCTTTTTTTTCAAGCCGTCCAAGCTCGTCAATTACTTGGTGTCATCGATCTTGTGTTGTGCTGGGCAGGTTTTGTATCCATATTGGGTTAACCTGTTGAATCAGCTGGAATAACCTATCTAGCTGTCACAGCTGTTAGCGTCGATAAAGGTCCAATCAGTTAAAGATGAGCTGAAAGATGCTAGAAACTCCTGTAGGATGCTTAGACAAGTATAATTTCCTGTATGGATCTGTAGTACTATGACTGACTCGTTCACATTTAACATCTGTCACTTAACTGATTGTAATGAGCAAAAGTATTGCTTCAGTGCAGCTAACAGGGCGAAAGAACTCAGTTTTTCTAAAATATGTGTGGAGAACTCAGAAAGTTAGACCTTAACTTTGTGTTGCGGTATATGATGGCAAACATCAAAAACTGCCGAAATTCAAACTGAGTGCATGTAAATTAAAGCTCAATTCCTGTCTGGTTTGAACGAGGGAGAAGCTGATCTAATGCATAGACAAAATGAAGAGGAATAAGCAGATGAGGTATCAAAGCCACGATAGTGTCGAATGTAGTGAGCAATTTAAAGGAGCGCTAAATGTGAAAACTTAGGTAGTACTTTACTATATTGCCATGTGAAGTTTGCCAGCAACCGTTTACATCTTGTTCTCCACCACTCTGATGGACTGAGAGCCCAGAACAGTTATACTTATTTT